ATCCCTACCACACACTGATACATACACAGAACGGACACACTCAATTAAGCTGAAAAATCGAATCATCCTTGATAATGGCTAAAGGTATAGCCGAAAGCGCTCGGAAATCTAAAACATTTGGACAGTTCTTACACACCCTTTGTCCAGAAAAGAATGCTCTTGTTCGAACACAAGAAAAATTAAATAAAAAGCTTAACCGTAGTACCTTGTCTGTCGTTTTTAATGAAACATGCATAAACGAAGGATTGCTGCCTAAATATACAACTATATATATATATATATATATATATATTGTCATTCTTATGCGAATTTATCTTATCCACAGAATTGTTCTGGGAATTATACTATATTAACGATATTATCGCTTTATCGTTGATACATAATATTAATAAGATGTTTACAGCGAATGACGTTTAATTATTTATGCACGTCTACGATCACAACATTTCACCAATGTATTGTTCATGATTTTCCCCTTCCTCTGGCAAATTCAGTCACATATATGGCGTTGTCGTCGGCTTCCTTGCCTAACTGATGACCTTCAGCTCCACTATGTTTGGGGCGTTTTGAGTTCCAAAAAAACTGCTTTAATCTTTTTTGCATTATGAGAAGTGGTATTATCTTGCATAAAGATGAATCCAGGGCCAGTAGACACCCTCAGAAAAAGGGCAAAATATTCTAAAACTATAAGTATATTATTGTCCCTTCTCTGCAACAAGTAAATACAACGCTATATAAGCAATATTATACACCGTTGAATTTATTTTGCCATGCAACATTAACGTCTGATTACATTCCTCGTATCAATATACTGCTTTTTCACGTGTCGCTCCTCATTAAGATATGGACGACCATGGCTCCCGTCAATTTTCTATTCTTTGTAACTCTTACAACTTCCTGAATTCCTCGTTGATCGCATGCTCCGTCCATGGTATTCCCGGCATTCTTCTGAAGAACTATGTCTTTATTGCATCAAGTCTTCTCTTCACCTATAAGGGAATATAGGGAGATCAATAATGCATAGCAGTGTAGTGATAAACAAATAAGAAAATAAATAATAACAAGGAGACCAAAATTTCACCATCCCTAAAAGCAGATGTATAATCAAAATCGCCAGGCCACAAAGTCATACTTCAACCAACCTATTAGAAATGATTCACAATCAGGATATATAAAAAGAAATAACAAATAATAACAAGAAGACCAAAATCTCACCATCTCTAAAAATAGATGTATATTCAAAGTCACCAGGGACAGAAAGTCATATTTCGACCAACTAAACAGGAAGCTTTCTTACTAGAATATAAAATCTCGAACCAGTGAGAATTAAAGCATCACGTTCGAGTCAGATTTCTAGAGATATATCTAACTGTATGGAAAATCAACCAAAATCAGAATCGATAAGTAAATTTTGTCCATTCTCCGATTCTGCGGTTTTCGTAACATAACCAGAACCGAAATGCGACCAGCTGGCCACTTGAGACAACTAAATCGCTGATATATTTAAAAACATACACCCTTTCTTTCTCCTCCCTTTTAAGCACTCCGCTGATACATTTGAAAACAATCATACCTTCCTTCATCCACATTGTTATGCAGGCGGGTACTACATTTGGAAAAATACATGGTGATAACTGTCTTGGTAGATTTTTTTGTTTTTCATTCATAATTTTATTATTTCTATCATTTGTACCCGAGCTAACGCTCTGTTATGGACCTGTGGGTGTTTCTTCATGCCAGCTTCACTTTTACAACCTCTCTTACACACGTGGCAAACATAAAGTTTGTTTGTGTTACCTATGTTGGAAACCTGCTTGTCCCTGTGTGCAATCATAGGATGTTTGAGCCCCGCAACAGACTTAGATACTTTGTCACAAAACTCACACAAGTAACCTGCAGGTCTTTCTGCTAGGGTTGCATTCACAGGTGTTTGCACCTGACCTTCCGGGTGTGATCTGACATGACTGGCTAAACCAGCCGCCGAAAGGGTGACTTTTCTACAAATACTGCAAGTCTGTTGGTGTCTGGGACGGATTCTATTTTTCCCTTCCTAATGGTAAAGGATTAACTTTGATCTGAAAATTATTTTTTTTAACAGTGAAGTGAGAAACGCTATGGTTATGTACTGTACGATTTAAATTTCACGTTGCAAACGTCAGGGGAGGTAACTAATTTTTGAAATATCCATATATTTTTTAAAATTAGCATTTTGATACATATTCTTTTACTCCGAGTACTTTTGACAGTAGCACAATGTCATCATCAGGGGGAAATTTTTTCTAAGACAAAATCCTTGTGTTCATCTGAAAGTTTTTTGGGTTTTTTTTTAATTGTGAAGTTAAAAACGTTAAAATTATGTGCTGTATGATTTAAATTACATGATGTAAACGTTAGGGGAGGTAACTAAGTTTTGAAATGTCTCTATGTTTTTTGTTTTTTGCTTTTTTTTAATTACAATGTTGAGAAGATTGGAAGGGATACGGATGAAAATGAGAAGACACACTGATAAGGGTAAACTTTTTGAGATATTCTGTCTGCAGGAACTATGATCACTAGGTCTGGAGTGTTTAGACTGCTTGGTTTTTATCTGTTATACAGAACCATAAAATTGTTACAAATTCTATTTTTGTAACGAAGTCTGCAAGTGTCCGAAACAATTTGCTGCATTTTTCTTCCTATAAAAGTTGCAGATTTTCCAATACAGATATTGGTCTGCCCTGTCATGCTGAGTTTTATAGTCGGGTAGATGCTAGTACCGTTCACCCTGATACAAAATGGACAAGTGTTTCTGGATATGCATTACAGAATCTGCAATTGGGGTTAACACAATTTTTCAGTATGTCTGTCAGATAATTTCAAGTTAGCAATCATTGATCCTGTACAGTAAGGATAAAATCTTTGGCTTCAGCTTCTAATTCTGCACTACGCAACTACGGATGAGTTTGTCTACATCAGTTTGGTACGGGCAGAGTATTGATCATGAAGCCTTTTATCTTGCCATCGTTTCTACATTTGGTACGTTACAGTTGCTTTTACTTTCTTTTTCCGGTTCTTTGCCTATGCTGTAGGTGTATTATGGTTTACTTGCTCGTCCTTATTCACTTGAAATTCCCTTTAGAACTTGTTGGTTTCCTTTATTACTGAATAAAGTGCCTTATTTATTTTATGTTCTTTGACACAAATCATCATCCAGTTTCTCTACTTTCTAAGCATCTTTCAAAGCCGATTGATGTTGTTTTGAATGACAGTTCTAGTTGAACTTATCCTCTGCTTCCTTCAGACACATACAGACGATCCACTTTAGCCTTTCTAAATTTGACATCTATTCGCTTAATGTCAGCTATGGCACAATTAAGGATGTTGAAAGTGTATTGTCCCACAGGGACACAATTACAGAGGGCTGCAGCAAAATCCAACACTTTAAAAAAGAAAACGAAATAACAACAAAAGTTCATAATTTACATTATTCGGACTATTGTCCTCATCTTTGTCGCCATATTTATTACAACGTTTCGGCCTTTCAGTATCTGTCTATATTTCTGAGATGAGATATTATGTACACTATTTACATTATTCTTACTATTGTCCTCATCTTTGTCGCCATATTTATTACAACGTTTCGGCCTTTCAGTATCTGTCTATATTTCTGAGATGAGGTATTATGTACACTATTTACATTATTCGGACTATTGTCCTCATCTTTGTCGCCATATTTATTACAACGTTTCGGACTTTCAGTATCTGTCTATATTTCTGAGATGAGGTATTATGTACACTATTTACATTATTCGGACTATTGTCCTCATCTTTGTCGCCATATTTATTACAACGTTTCGGCCTTTCAGTATCTGTCTATATTTCTGAGATGAGGTATTATGTACACTATTTACATTATTCGGACTATTGTCCCCATCTTTGTCGCCATATTTATTACGACGTTTCGGCCTTTCAGTATCTGTCTATATTTCTGAGATGAGGTATTATGTACACTATTTACATTATTCTTACTATTGTCCTCATCTTTGTCGCCATATTTATTACAACGTTTCGGCCTTTCAGTATCTGTCTATATTTCTGTTATGGTCAATTTTAGGACCAAAGAAGAACAACACGAACACAAGAGTAGAAATAACAAAGGTATATTACACGAAATAATAATACAAGTTGTGGAAGGTGTTAGTATGACTGTCAGTCTGGTTTGGAGTGAACTACTATCGGCTTGAGGACACATGGCACAGTGGATAAAGGCGTTAGTTAGATCCAGTGGCAGGACCCAAAGAGTGTAAGTTCAATACCCGGTTAAGGTAGTGCAGAACTTGAAGAGGGAAATTAACAGGAGATAACTGATAACTGACATCTATTAAACATGGCACGTGGAACTAGAACAGTCTACCCCAGTGAGCTAAATAAAGGGTTCTGTTCGACGTTTCAACCACCTGAAGAAGACCGGTGCGTACAACGGCCGAAACATTGTAATAAATATGGTGACAAAGATGAGGACAATCGTCCAAATAATGTAAATAATGTACATAATACCTCATCTCAGAAATATAGACAAAACAAAGGTTGTACATGGAGAGACATAACAGTTTATTTAGCAACAGTTAGAGTTAACATACTACATTATTTTTCAATGTAACCGCCGGCGGCGGCGACGACCAATTTCAAACCGAGCACGAAATGAGTCACACGCTTTGGCGACTACGTCGTTGTTCATAGCGGCCGATACCTCCACGATGGCAGCCTTCAGAGAGTCGACCGTGTTGTGGGCGTGCTTGTTAGACTTGGCCTCGATCACGCCCCAGAAGAATTAGTCAAGGGAGTTGCAGTCGGTTGAGAAGAGCGGCCAAGTCCAGTGACCAGTGGTGAGGAACATTGTTAAGCAAGCCACGCCTGGGTCGTCTTGGCCTTGTGTGCAGGATCGGAATCCTTCTGGAAGACGTAGAGGCGTCCAGCGGCGATCTCGTCCATCCACGCTCCTCAGCACCTCCTGGTAGATCTCAGCGGTGACTCGCAGGCCCTTTCGAAAGAAGAACGGAGGCATGACGTCCCCCCTCGCTGGAGATGACGCCAAGGACCATGATAGAGGAGGGAAACTTCGTATGCTTCAAGACGGGAAATTCCTCGTTGTCTTTGCAGATCCACCCGTCGTTCTGCCTATTGCTCGTCTGGTCCTGGATTAAATTCTTTTCATCAGAGAAGAACCTCAGCATCCCAGCGGACCAGTGTTTGAGCTCAGTCAGCAAAGCCACTGCCTTGACCTTCATCGACTCCTTGGAGGCATTAGTGATGAACATGCGGTGAAACTTGTGGTAGGAGGAGTAACCAATGTCCTTCTTGATCGTTCGGCAGATCGTCGACTTGTGACAGCCCATGTCAGCGGCGATCTTGGCATAGCTCTGGCTTCCATCATTGCCGACTGTCTCCTTGACGGCGGCGACGAACTTGTCGGTCCTAACGGCCGAAGAACGAACGTTGCGTGCCTTTCGTTTGGCAGTAAACTCGTCCTTGTTCTCACACGCCTTCCACTTCCTCCAAATGTCCATGACCATGGTCCTTTCGAACCCAAACGAGACCATTACTTCCGTAGGCTTCTTTCCGACGCGAAAAGAAGCTACTACTGCTGCTCTGCGCCCATATTCCATCCTGTAAAAGGCTAGAGAGAAAAACGTTAGTTAGACGTCAAACTGTCGGGTATCTGCATATACTACTTTTATTTTTATTGCCTATTTCGTTTTTGTTTTTTTTGTCAAATATCGGATTTTGCTGCAACATCCTCTGTATTTATGGCTGATATGCTGTTTTGTGAATTCATGACGGTATTTAGCACCAGACACACACCTCTGTAATATTATTTCCTTTTGCAGGTATGCTGTATTACCTCCGCCTTCGCTGACTCCTATGCATTTATAGATTTCTACTTGTTCTAGTTCCCTAATCCTTGTGGTAATTTTGAGATCTCTTCAGCCGGTAATTCTACCTTTCTTGAAAGTTTCTTTTGTACATTTATTTAATTTGAAGTTCATACCGACGTCATTACCGAAAGGTTTTATAATATTGAAGAGATCGTTCAACTCATTGTTGTCTTTGTGTTGTGGTAAACCCTCCTACAAGAGAATGAACTCTTCCTCCTCTCATAAATACTAACTGCGAGACTTCCTAGGGCAGCCGAGACGCAGTCTCTGACTGTGTGCAACTTCTTTCGAACTCTCTGCTTTAGCAGAGAGGAACACGGACGAAGCTTTGCCGAAGGGCACAGTTTCGTCCGGGGAAGTAGACAGATCCCGAACCCGCTTATGTTGGTTCTTAGGGAATTATTTGGCCGAGCCAACGGGCTCGGAGAAACCCACGTTAAACTCGGCCATGTGCCACATACATTCCTCATGGGGGGGACTGTTCAATATCGCCGAGAAGCAGTGTAACCTGATCGTTCGGACGTACACCTCTATCTACTTATTACTAACACTTTTGCTTTGTATATATCTGTTTATTTCAATACATTTGTTCAACCTACCTTCGTCTTCCGTGTCTTTCTTTTCTGGCCCCTAAACAGGCCACAGCACTTTGGTAAAAAAAGTTCGAGAGCATTCATGGACAATAAGGGATTAAATATTTTCTTGCTTATTTTGTATCCATAGTTATTACTATTTAGTTCGTACGAAAGGGAGATTAAGGACAGACAAAGCAGGAAGAATGACATTCAATTCAGAATACTGCTTGCCGGTGCTTTTTTGCACCAGGGATGTTGAGGTTTACCGCGTCCCTCCACTCAGAAGTTAGAGTCAGGACCTGCAGGCTAGTTTCAATTTATAGTTTTCCTGGCGATGGTGTATGGATACCATGCGCTGCCCAGACTATACGTCCCACCCCTCTCGGCCGTACCGACAAGATCCAAAGGAATACAGGGCATTATATTTGGGACCGGCTTGGCTGCAGAATTTGCCGGAGAGTTGTCAGTGTTGACAGACAATCGATTTCGAGGCTTTACTCCGGGTTTTCTAAGTGGGTTTACTTATATTCATTCATTTATTCCGTCAGCACATTTTGCGCCGCTGTAAACCTCCTCGACATCTTACAATTGTGGCTCATGGGAATATTAAGAGCAGAAGAGGGCAATGTTTTACCGTTTCCTTTTGCATCGGGGATGGTGAGATTACAGCAGTCCCTCCACTTAGAGAGGCAAGACCTACAATGCAACAGATGGTTGGAATTCAGAGTTTACCTTCTCTTAGACTGGCGATGGTATACGGAGGCCGTACGCTGGCCAGACTATATGTCCCACCCGTCTCGGCCGTACCGACAAGATCCAAAGGAATACAGGCCATTATATTTGGGGACGGCTTGGCTGCAGGAATTGCCAGAAAGTTGTCGGTGTTGAAAGCCAACTGACTTCGGAGCTCCACTCCGGGTTTACTGTCTGGATTTACTTCCATAATCTTTTCTGTGTTTGGATATTCCTTCAAGGTAGTGGAGGTTTAAAATCAGGGTTTTCCTTCCCCTAGATGGACACCTGTGTATGACGGTAAACTGCATCCAGCAGCAAGTCCTCTGATCAAGAGGTTTTGAGAAGCGTGGAACCACCTCTTAATTGCTGATGTTCCCAGGTCCACCCTGACCTGTGGTGATAGCATCTGTTAGGGCCCCAGCTGTGGTCAAATAGTTGACAAACTGGGGTCAAAACACTATGAATTTATAAAAATAGGTTTTAATACATACCAGAAATACTTTGTAAAAAAAAATTATTACCAGCAATACATTTTTAGAAAAAAAAGATATTACCACCTATAGTATATTTTGAAAGAAAATATTACCAGCACTAAAAATATTTGTCGGCATTAAATAACCCATTGAGGTGTTGATATGCCGTAAAATCAATCAAGCGAAAATGCAGTACTGTTTTCATATTTGAGGGGGGGGCTGCGCAATCCACATTCTCCAGTCTCTATAGAATCAAAGAACATCTTTGAATCCTTGTGGGTAACGAACTGTTTTCCACTCTCTCTCTCTCTCTCTCTCTCTCTCTCTCTCTCTCTATCTATCTATCTATCTATCTATCTATCACACACACACACACACACACACAGAGGCGGGATATGGCGAGCCTCTCACTGCTCCATGGAAAATGCTCGGACGAACTGCATCTTCTGGTTCCACCTGGCCCGATCTGCCATGCCACTTCCATTGTAGTAAAGCACCCACATTCCTTCCGTATTTCATCGCTGAGAAGTAAGTTCCACTAGAACAGCTTTTTCCTGCGAACCACTGCTCTGTGGAACATACGCCCAAGTGGATCTTAATCTGTTCACGTCTAGGGTTAATCGTTATCTTCCCCTACTATCTGTATAAACTTCCTCTGAATGTAACCCTCTACCTCGAGTGGCCATAGGGCCTTGTACCGGGTGAACTTCAATCTAAAGAAAATAAAATAAATAAAGACGAGAAACTCGGTCTATAAGAAGCAATAATAAAATGATAACGACATATTGTTCAAGAATTTCGGAGGGAAAAGAAGCGGGAAAACCAGGAACATTTTATGATAAAAACTAGAAGAAAAAGAAGTCATTTATTCTAGAAAAAAAACAACTAGAATAGAAAATACAGATCAAATAAAACCGGAGTGTAAAGTAGTTTCTTCCCGTGAACCACTGTTCTGCGCAACCGACTCCCAAGAGGATGCTTTCCCGATCAATACAATCTTAACCTGTTCAAGTCGATATATAAAACACAGGATATCTGTCTGTGTGATGCCTTTTCTCTCGAGATCCATCCAACCGATTTTGACCGAATTTGGCACATACATTGTACAATGTAAGATTTTTTTTTTAAAAAAAAAACAATAATCGATAAGGCCGATCACAAATCGATAAATTTAACTTTTTTCCTCCGATTTCGTTCAACCTCGGTATGTAGGTTACTTACATCATGACGAGCTCAACGATACCTCATTTTTATTTCTACGCCACTGCGTTTAACGAACAACCGCAAAAAACGAAAAATCGATTTCAACACAAATTTTAAACTAAAATCGCCCTCAATTTTCAAGCAATCTAATACAAACTTCACTCAGTTGTAACCAACAATAAGTTGATTGCCTGACAGTTATTTAACTTAATAATTGAATCTAGCCATATGGTGAAAACCCGGGTAAATAGCGAAAAATGGCGTTTTTAAATGGTTTCTTTCTTATTTTTCGCTGATCTCTCAACCAATTTTCATCAAACTTAACAATTGCTTTATAAATGTATCCTCTTTTACATCCCTGGTAGCACACTGATAAATTGAATTTCAAAGCTCCGAAATAATTGTGGTCGGAAGTGGGTCTTCATGTTGCCTGTTTTACCCCTTCATGTTCTCAGTTAACTTTGATTGAATAGGTACAGACTACTTCTGTTAAATCTGTAACTGCATTAATTCAAAACGTTTTTTTTAATGAAATTTCTTTAAAGTAATTGAAGAAGATAGATTCTGCTACATTTAGACATGATGCTGTTTTTGCTCCATTCTAATTGAACTCTTTTTTATGATCGACCAGCTGGGTATGGCTACTAGTGAATGAAACAATACAAAAAGTGAATATTGAAAAAAAAGAAATAAACAAAATAGAGAAAAAATCCGTTCCAACAAAAGAGTAGAATTAAACAAATCTAATAAAGAAAGAAACGGATTTGGAAAAAGAAAAACTGAAGAAATATATTAATAAAATGAATGAAAAATGTAGGGATAACCGTTCTCTTCCCCTACTATCCGTATAAACTGCCTTTTAATGTAACGCTCTACCTTGAGTGGCCCCCGGGCCTTGTACAGTGCGAATCTCACTGTAAAGAAAATAAAATAAACAAAAAAGAGAAACTTGGTCTATAAGAAGCAATACAGAAATGTTGAAGAATTAAATGTCTTTAATAAAAGAAGAAAAGAATGAAGAAAATGGAAGACCGAAAAAGGAAGGGAAAAAAAATGAAAGAACATTTTTGTCATTTTTGCAGCAGACAATTTCTAAGTTTAAAAAGTAATTAATATATTCGGAATATGAAGAGAATAAAGAAAATGAATAAAACGTGGAAAAGTGAAGAAAAAGATTAAAAGACGAAGAATAGGATATGAAATATGGCCGGTAGTTAAATGAACAAAATCGACAAGATTAAAACGTTTTAAATTAGGAAATTGAAGGAAGAAATATGACAAAGTTGAAATAGAAAAGGATTTAGATATAAAGATATGATGTTGAGACGGAAAAGAAAACCATCGGATATCCTTAAGAAATTAAGCAGAGAAATCGAAAAAGAAAAATGAACAAAATAAATGAATGATCAAATGAAAGGGAAAAAGGTGAGGCGGGGGAAATCAAGAGGAATTACAAGAAGAAAATAAGGGTAATGAGGAGAGTAAGAAGAGAAAGAAGAAAATAAGGAACGAAATGAACAGAGAGGGGGAAAAGAGGAAAAGAAGGGGGTTATGAAGACAAGGAAAAACAAAAGGAAGAGTAAAAAAAAAGCAAAATGGAGGAGGCAACATTTTTAGTCACACGGTAGCAAGAATGAGAAAGCTAAGGAGAATATGACGTGGAAGGAAAAAGTAGAATAGTAGAAGAAGTATAAGAAGCTAAGAAGAAGAAGGACAAGAGGTCGGAGGAGAGGAAAGAGGAAAAGAATAAGAGTTAGAAATGGAGAAAATGAAGAGAAGGAGAGCAAAACTGAAAGAGAATAAAAAGGAGGAGGAGGAATAGAACAAGAACCAGAATAAAAAGCAGGAGGTATATAAAGAGAAAACAAAGAAGCTGGAGGACATGACGAAGTGGCAGGAAGAGTAGAAAAGTCGGAGGAGAACAACACGAAACAACAGGAGGAGGAGGAGGAGGAGGAAAAGAAGCAGGAGGGGGTGGTGAAAAAGTAACAGGCGGAGGAGAACACGAAGTAGTAAGAGGTAGATAATAACAAGCAGTAGGAGAGCAAAAAGCAGGAGGAGTATGAAAAGAAGTAGGAAGAGAAGAAAAAAAGCAGGAAGAGGATAAAAACGAGGAAGAAGTGGAAACAAGGAGGAGGAGGAGGAAAACAAAATGCAGGAGAAGAAGCAGAAGGAGGAAAACAAGAAGTAGGAGGAGGAGGACATAAATGAAGAAATGCTTCAGACGTCATTCTTAAAACTACGTTTTAATTTATTCCTTTCCGTACAACGCTTTTTCGAATTCTCGTAATAATTCTTTAGCTTTTAAGAGCTGTATATTACAAAAGTGACATCAAAAAAGTTTTGAAAAGTATCCATTTCACATTAAACTGAAGCTTAGACGCTAGACGCAACGTTGATAAATAAGTAACTATATAAAACAATTTTTGTCAAAGGAACAAAATTCATTTCAAATAAATGGATTAAAATGGATGGATCAAATGCAAAACAGGATAGAAAGCCATTTCAACTTTTACCCATAATGCTTCATTCAAATTCTTCATAACATTTTCCACTCCTTTTCCCATCCACTCAGTTATTTTTCTTTGTTTAATTTTGCAGCTTCACACCAATAATTTTATTTGATATCATTCACTCAAATTATTGCTATAACTTTCATGAAAACGTTGAAAAATATGAACAGAATTCTCCAATATGACGTATTGTTTGATAAAAAAGAATAAAATATTTATCTCTTTTTTTCAAATTTGAAAGAAACAATTTTTTAGAAATTATTGCATGAGTCAGTAAAATCTGTGACGTAGATTAATGGTGGAAAATTCTTATCAAGGCAAGATGAACAACACATAACCTGCTTAGCGAGTTTCAGTAAATGGAACAGGATTTATAGAGAGATAACAAAAAGACAAAAGTGCTACAAAGGACAAGAAATTGTGGAGAGCCATGATCGCCAGCATCTTCAACAGACACAGCACATGGTAGAAGAAGAAGAATGAGCTTGTGTAAATGGATGGCGGAACAAAGCTTAGGAGACATAACAAAAACACAATATTTGTTAAGAGCTAAAAAAGACAGGAAATTGTGGAGAGCCATGATCGCCAACGTCCTGAAGGGACATGGAACATAGAAGATGAAGTAGAATGAGTTTGTGTAAATGAATGACAGAACACAGTTTAGGAGAGATAATAAAAGACAAAATTTATTCAGAAATACAAACGACAGAAAATTGTGGAGGGCCATGATCACTCCCTGACTATCGGACTGCGATCCAAGAGTTCCCCTTATCTCTACTGGTAATGGTTAATATTATCCTTTTCCTAATGTGGAAATACTCGGCATTCATTGATCGATGCTGCTGTAGGTTAAAATTTATAAATTCTTAAAACAATTTTTCAGGAAAATATGTTTTCACAAGTCTTTAGCGTTAATGTGGAAAAGTAAATGGTACTAGTATTATAGCCGTTTCCTTATAAGGAAACATTCGACATTCACTGACCGAGCAGCCACTGTCGGTTGAATTGTATAAAATGTTTCTCTTAAAATATTTTTTTCAGGAAAGTAGGCTTCTCAACTTTACTAGCTGTTATCTTTGCCATATTGATGGAAGTTTCTTTCCTAACCTTTTATTCGGAGTTGTGTGGAAAGTTAACATCGTGATTATGTCATTATTTTCTTTCGTTTTACCTGTGCTATCCATTTTAGCTGTTGCCACTGTTGGTACTCTTCAAGCAATGTGGTCTCTGTTATTTGGGGCAGTTCTTTGTGATTCTGTAGCGACAGACCCACAAGTTTCGAAAAGGGATGCTCCTCGCGAGGACCTACAAGCTTCACTCGCTCAAAGCCATTTTTAATCATTGATCTAAGAAACTGGTTATATACACTGTTTACATTATTCGTAATATTGTCCTCATCTTTGTCGTCATATTTATCACAACGTTTCGGCCCTTCAGTATCTGTTTATATTTCTAAGATGAGGGACTATGTAAACTATTTACATTATTCGCACTATTGTCCTCATCTCAGTTGCCATATTTATCACAACGTTTCGGCCCTTCCGTATCTGTCTATATTTCTGAGATGAGGTATTATGCTCACTATTTACATTATTCGGACTATTGTCCTCATCTTTGTCGCCATATTTATGACAACGTTTTGAAACGTTAGTATCTGTCTATATTTCTGAGATGAGGTATTATTCTCACTATTTACATTATTCGGACTATTGTCCTCATCTTTGTCGCCATATTTATGACAACGTTTTGACACGTTAGTATCTGTCTATATTTCTGAGATGAGGTATTATGCTCACTATTTACATTATTCGGACTATTGTCCTCATCTTTGTCGCCATATTTATAACAACGTTTCGACACGTCAGTATCTGTCTATATTTCTGAGATGAGGTATTATGTACACTATTTACATTATTCGGACTATTGTCCTCATCTTTGTCGCCATATTTATCACAACGTTTCGGCCCTTCAGTATCTGTCTATATTTCTGAGATGAGGTATTATGCACACTATCTACATTATTCACACTATTGTCCTCATCTCAGTTGCCATATTTATCACAACGTTTCGACACTTCCGTATCTGTCTATATTTCTGAGATGAGGTATTATGTACACTATTTACATTATTCGCACTATTGTCCTCATCTCAGTTGCCATCTTTATCCCAACGTTTCGGCCCTTCTCTATCTGTCTATATTTATGAAATGAGGTATTATTTTAATTATTCGGACTATTCTCCTCATCTCTGTTGCTGCATTTATCACAACGTTTCCGCCGTTGTACGCTCCGGCCTTCTTCAGTTGGTTGGAAGCATGGAAATTAGTACAATATAGGAACCAGTAGTAAGGAGTGCCAGAGAAAAAGCAATAACACCGAAAATTGATATGAGCTCTGGTGAAAAAACATGCAATGATAACAGCAAAAATTGCAATATGAGCACTGGTAAAATGGCTGATATAGCAATTGATTCAATATAATCGTTCTACTTGATGTCAATTAGCATCAGCCATGTTGACGGAAGGCAAAAAGTTTCCCTTCGACGATTAAAAGAAAGTAGATTCATTTTAGAGGCGTTAAAATTAACACGTCATTCCTTGCCCCAGTTAACAACAGATTGCAGTCCAATTTTTAGATCAGCTGCCAATTTGATCTTATCGAATCGATCAGACTTACCATTAAGACTGAAGTGAATAGTTGTGTCATCAGCATAGATACCGAGCTGAGAACTGATGACATCGTCAAGGTTGTTGTTGAAACAACGTAAGTCCAAGGATAGAGCCCGGGGGTGGGGACTGCAATAATTCAAAAAGATCTAGAAGATTTATACGGGAAAAAGAAGAAGAAGAAGAGGCAGAAGAAGAATAGGAAGATGAATGAGACGAAGAAGAGGAAAGAATAAGAAGAAAAGGAAGAAGAAGTGGAAGAAGAAAAGGATGAAGAGGAAGAAGAGGAAAATAAAAAGAAGAAAAAGGAAGAATAAATAAAGAAGAAGAGGAAGAAAAAGAAGAGGAGGAAGACGAGGAAAAAGAAGAAATAAGAGGAAGAAGAAGCGACAGAAGAAAAGGAAGAGGAAGAAGAAGAAATAGCGAGTTGAGAACTGATGACATCAGGAAGGTCACTTACGAAAATTACAAACAACCTAAGTCCAAGAGCCCTGGGGCACACCCGTTTTAATGCTAAAATATCTAGAAGCATTGTCTTCATGACAACCTTCTTTTTGCGATCTGATAAAAAAGATTGAATCAAATCAAAGATTAGTCTAGAAATAACATAATCTTCTAATTTGTAAAGACCATCATGCCAAACCTTGTCAAATGACTTCAAGATATTTAAAGAAACAGTCCGAGTTTCACCATTTTTATTTAAACCTTGATAGCATCTTTCAGCAATGACCATTAAGAAGTTGAGCTAAAGAATAAAAGACATATTGCTTGTCAAAAGTGGACCCTGCCAGGTGAGACGTTTAACCAATTCAGAGTTGATTAGAGATTCTAGTACACTACTAAAAAGGGGTAGAAATCTAATAAGCGATAGAGTTCTTAAAGACTGGAACTACAGAAGAGAATTTCCAACAAACAGCAGCAAAGAATTTATTGGAAAATTTATATATATATATATATATCATAAATTAATTGATTTAAAATATGTTTTTTTCCGCTACGCAGTTCTAACCATGTTTCAAAAATGGAAGCTAAAAGCTCAGAATTTAATTTTGTAATTAAATTAAAGATATTAGTTGCATTTCATCCTCAAGCGAATTTTGGAGTAGCTTTTTAAATCTTACTGTTCTTTCTTTATATATATATATATATATATATAGGGTATATATTATATATATATATATATATATATATATATATATATATATATATATATATATATGAAAATAAATATATATATATATATATATATATATATATATATATATATATATATATGGGTATATATGGGTAAAATAGCAGGACAGACTGGGTTCTATAGCCTTGGATGGCAACTGGTCTAGGAAAAGGACAACTCTGAATTCAAAACCTGCGGAGGGTCGTTTGGGAACCTTGTGGCACTTAGTGCACCAGGTCTCTGTAATCGGCCCTTCAAA